GAGCTCACAGCTTGAAGGACAGTCTGCAGCGAAGTGAATTCCATTAGGGGCGTCCGATAATGACCCCAGCGCGGAATGTACCCGTAGGAGTGGGGCTCGCAAGTGGTTGCAGACTGGCCCAATGCGGTGGAGGCCGCCCAAATGGGACTGCATGAGATAGAACTGAAACGGAGACCCCCCATCGGAAATTCAATGTTGGTTTCGTTTTCGTGTCGCGCTTGCGGGCGAGGCGAAACTGCGTGGCCGGCCGAGAGAAATCAACCCGTCGTTGCTGGGGCGAAACTGGGCCAAATGATTCTCCGCCCAGTTGGCCGGCGGACGTGCCTCGATGGTGTCTCGATGGTGTCGCCGATGCTGGGGCGAAACTCGGCCAAATTATTCTCCGCCTGGTCGGCTGGCGGGAACCCATAAAGTGTCCCGATGGTGTCCAGATGGTGTCCCGATGGTGTCCCGACGGTGTGCCGATGGTGTTCCGATGGTGTCTTGATGGTGTCCCGATGGTGTCCCGATGGCGCCCTGATGGTTGTCCCGATGACTGTCCCATGAGATCGATATGTGAATAGATTGTGAGATCGATGGGCAATGATACCGATCGATAGTGAGATCGATGCATAGATGGTGGGATCGATTGTGAGATGGATAGTGAGACCAGTTGATAGTACGACTAGTACCTTGATATGGTGGTCGGGAATGAGAACAAGATTGAGGTAGATAAACAGCTGTTCATGGCGGTGTTCAGATGGTGTCCCGATGGTGTCCCGATGGTGTCCGCATCGTGTCCCGATGGTGCCCCGATGGTCGTCATGCATCATCACCATCAGAAGTCACATCACGCAGCGTCAACAGCATCATCATAACGCATCGTCACCAGCTCGCGAACGCATCACCAGCATCGACACCAACACAGTCAACGCAGTTGTCGTCAGTCGGTCCCCCCCCCCCCAACCTCCGTATCAACCGAAAGGTGGTCATGTAATTACAGAGTTGCAATGTTTTACGTAGTTGCCAAAACGCGTTTGGCCCTTGTGTGGCCTCTCGAAGCCTCCAGAGACTCCTGGGCCCTCCCGAAACAAACCCTGGATCATGTGATGGGCCTGTTTTCCACCACGACCACCACCACAAGTTGGAGGGGGGGGGTCCTCCTCTTCTCCCCTCCTCCTCCTCCTCCTCCTCCTCCTCCTCCTCCTCCCTCCTCCTCCTCCTCCTCCTCCTCCTCCTCCTCCTCCTCCTCCTCCTCCTCTTCGTCCTCCTCCTCCTCCTCCTCCTCTTCGTCCTCCTCCTCCTCGTCCTCCACTTCCTTCCCCCTCCAACGTATGGTGGTGGTGGTGGAAAACAAGCCCATCATCATAGCCCGCTGGCCCGTGCTCAAAAAAACTGTGGGCTGAGATGTCTCGCCTGGTGCATATTCCGACGAGCGCCACAGCAAGCAGGATGAGAGGCGCCGCCGCAGGAAGCTGCCCCGACTGTATGGGGGGGGGGCACCGCCGAAGCGCTCCGCGGGGCATACATCGACGAACCGCTGTTCAGTCTCAGACCACCACTCCGTGTCAGAAAGAAAAGGGGGCAGGGGGAGGAAGAGGATCGCGCGGGAGGGGGAGGGGGGATGAGGAGATGAGGGGAAGGAAGACGATCGAGGACTACGAGGAGGAGGCAAAGGAGAAGAGGGATAACCGAGGAGGAGGAGGAGGAGGAGGAGAAGAAGAAGAAGAAGATTCGTCATTGCGCGGCACGTCTGGTGTTTCATGGTTGCTGTTGTGGTTGGAAATCTACAGCATAGCACCTCTGACAGTCGCACGCCCCCCTCCAAAAAAAAAATATCGAAGACAGGGCAAAGCGCTCCGCGCAGCCACGCAATCGAGCGAACAAGAGACCGATCGCAGAAAGTGAAACCCATGCAGGGAAACGAAAACCTCTCGGGCCCCACAGGGGCCGACGCCTCCAGGACTGCGCGCCCCAGGCAGGCCCCTGGAGCACCCAAGCTCATCCAGATTAGGGCCCACACCCCAGCAGGCAAGCAACGACAACGAACAGGAACGACGAGGCGAGAGAAGCGACAAGAAGGACGAGCAAGAACGGAGGAGAGGGGCAGGACAAAGCAGGAGGAGAGCAAGCAAGCCGCAACGGAGGGGTGCGCAGGCCCGCTGACTACCCTCTCGCATTACACAGGAAAACAAAAAAAAGACGAGAGCAAAAGGGCGGAGCCTCGAAGTCGCGGGGAGGGCCTCAGGAAGCTCAGGATGCGGGGGGGCGCGGTGGAACAGGCGCGGGGCGAGGACGCGACAATCCACTCCCCAAGGAAATCGGCAGTCACTCGCCGCCACCAACCTCCTAATCTCCCACGAGCGACACTGCAAAACAGATGGCACGTACCCCCGTCGACCGAAGAAAGAACCGAAAGTCTTAAGTACTCATCTGGGTCCCCGAGGGGTCGTCGGGCAGGCACGCATCTCCTTGGCGCGAATCCGATCCCGCGGGGCTTGGAGTCTTGCTCGCCATGACCCTTGCCCTTGGGCTTCGGGCGGCCCAGGAGCTCCTGGGCCATCGTCTCGAGGTGACCGAGCGGCGCCGTCCCCAACTTGAGTCGACCCCCCAAAAGGGCCATGGCATTGATCCGAGCCTGCTCGAGCAGCAGCTTCGATACCACCGCGCCCTCGGTCTGGAAACCGCCCGCAATGCTGAACTGGACGCGGCAGAAGCTCTCGCCGCAGCACTTCCGAACCCTGAAATGATGCACGACCAAGCCCACATCCTCCATCACAGCTTTCAAGATGAACTCGTTGTACAAATCCGCGATCACTTGACACGGCCCCAGCAGGAGCCTTCACATTCTCGCCACCCAGCAACGATCTGAACACGGCCCGCGCGATGCACAAACGGGGCAGACCCAACTTCGACTTCAGCTCTTGCACCGCGGCCGCCCCTGCATACTTCTCGCCCGCGGCATTGCGGGCCACCGCGGTCGACATCCCCGCCCGCCGGGGCCACCAGAGACATCCGCTCCGACGCCGCCGCGCCTCGCAACTGCCGCGCGCATTGGCGCGCAAACTGCAAAAGAATATTCAACGCCTGCTGGGTGTCCATGACCTTCAAGGTCCCTTCCGCTTATGCCAGCTCGTCGTCTGCCGCGTCGGTCATCTCGGCGAGCCGCCCTTTCTCGGCCTGCACCTCGCCCTCTGCGGGGGCGGCTGCCCTGGCCTTCACCCCCTGCAGCGCGCGGTCGACATCCACATCCACAGCGAGCGCGTCGCTTCGCGATCTGAGAGGGGTGGGGGGCCGAGAACAGCGCGAGCGAATGCGCAGCTGGAGAGAGTGGAGACCTCGAGCCCGGAAAGGACAGACCAGGCAGGACAGCGAGGGCGGGGCGATAGCCGCGGCCAACGCGCACGAGTTCCTTCCCACTGCGCAACGACTTCGCCGGCACGAGCCCACGACGCGACGCCGCGCATTCTCGCGCGACCCCAAGGCCTGCAAGCAGCGGAAGCACTGGTTCGTCACAGTCAACAGACTCGCCTCGCCCCTCAGGGCACGCCCCCTCCCCCCGCGCGCAGCAGCAGCTGCGTCGCGGGCCCGAGCCGCCCCCCACAGGCGCCACCATCGACGCCTAACAGGTCGCAACGAGAGCGGCCCACCCCCACCTCCAAATCAGACGGCGCGACGAGAGAAGGAGACGCGAACTCGGGGGGGGGGGGGGGGCACGGACTTCGAAAACACCTGCGCCCTGGGAACCAAGAAATCGACGCCCGCCCAGTCGGGGAACTCCCGATCGGAGGAGGGGGAGGGGGGAGGGGGGACAACAAAGCAGAAGAAGGGGAGCAACTCCAACAACTCGCCCGCACTGTCGAGCCCGAACTGGAGGTCCGAGAAAGTACCTGCATGGTCCGCTGGTTGGCGTTCTCCGCCAAGGTCTAGGAGGACGCGGCCACTTCCTCGGGGCCGAAACACACAGAAATACCGGCCCTCGCTTGCCCGTGGGCCTCGGAGCATTCACACCAGCCCCGATGCCAACGTAGGCGCCGCACCCTGAACTCTCGCGCACGCGGTAGGATTCGCCAATGCGCCCAGACACGCTCCGACGCTCAGCGTCGAAGCTCCTGCCCCCCGCGCCCCTCGAGACCTGATATACCCAATGCTCTCATCATGGCTCGCTGCAATACCTGATCAGCTGCAGCGAAAAAAACTGCCGTCGGGGGCCCTCGCCTCCATGCCAAATAAATGCTTACTGGGCGAACGCTATCACTGCCATTCGCTTCGCGCTCAGAAGGGCCGAGCGCCTCAAGACCAAAGAGACGCGGCCCAATCCAACCCGCCCAGCCTGGATACGCCCCCCCCCCACCCCCCTGAAGAGACCCACTCGTTGTCGGCCATCCCCCCAAACACTCGCATGAATCCCCCCTGCCCCTCCTTGGTTTCGATGGCCCCGCCGAAGATCAGACGGCGCTGCCCAATAGAGCCAGGGCCCGCAATCTTGACCAGGGAGACGCGGCTTCCAGGATTCAACGAGACCCCGATCTGGGCCAGGGCCCGCTGCAAGCTCTCGCTGCCGACGCTAGCCAGCGCGAGGCGGCGGGCGGGCCCCCCGCCCGCCGCGGGGGCAGGCCCGCGGAAAGCCCGCGTCGGCGAGGGCGCCGCTCACTTCACTGACCGTCGCCATCGAACTCGAGGTCGCGCGTCGACGAATCTCGGGGCAAGGCCCCAGTCCTCGTCGGTAGCAGCATGGAAAGCCACGCGCAGCGCTGGGGCGGCCCATGAGGTCGCCCGACGTCGGGCGCAGGCTGACCGTCTCGCACGACGCGATGATCCGGCAGGCGCCCCGGGCGATCCGCCGGCGCTGGAAGCCGACGCCCTCGGGCAGGTAGGGCGAGGGAAGCGCGGCCAGCATGCGTTCCCGAGAGACGATCGAAGACACGCCGGTCGCGCCCTCGCCCGCGACGACGCAGGGGCACCCCAGTCGCCGCAGCCGCCAAGAAGTGCAGCACCGGGTCAGAACAGCGTCTTCTCCCCGACGTTTCTTCGCAAAGCCATGGCAAATATATGGAAGAGCTTCTCTGCGTCTGCTGGCCTTCACCCAGACGTAAGTTCCGAGCCTTGCCCGACGGACAGAAAGGACGCATCCACCCCAAACTCTCGGCGCCAGACTTCCCGCCGCGTTCATCCAATCCGCGGCGCGATGAAACTTCAAAGAGAGGCGGGGCAATAGCCGTTCTTCGAAAGCAAGCCAGCAAATCGAGAACACGCTCGAAGAAGAAACCCGTCGCCGAAAGAGGCCGAAAGTCAGCGCCGACACCTCCCCCTCGGAAGAGACCCCACCGTTCCTCGTCGAGCAATAAGAGCCACAGTTCGGAGGGGAGAGACCAAGACGGCGTTGCGCGCCGCTTCGGCGCCCTCCGCAATTGCCCGATGATCCCGACCAGGTCGGTTCGCGCCTCATCTAAGCTCTCGATCTGCATCGCGTTGTAGCGCACCTCGTCGGAATCGCCCCAACCATCAGAACGCGGTCCATCAAAACGTTCCAACAACGGCACCTGAAGGTCGCACTCCCGAGCCCCAAGACCGCCAGAATTCGCAGGTCGTCACAGAAACTCCTATATCTCAGGTGCCCCACTGTTCTCCGATTTCAGAACAAAGTATTTCCTGTGTCGAGGCCCTGCGACTCGCTTGGACAACCGACGGACGAGGCGCTGTACAGTGACATGTTCGCGCGACTGCCATGCGTCGTTCAGTTCAGTGGTCAGGACTGCTTCACGTTCTTGAATGGTCAACCGAGACACCCGTCTCATGCATAAAGTGCCTCGGGCAAGCGTGAGTCCAACATTCTCACATGAAGCCGACTTGACCTCAGATAAGTGTAGATCCGACTCGGCCTCTGATGAATGTAAACCCGATATCGAACCCACAGGGTTCCCAATCGTCGTGCCTCGTTATGTGCTGGATGCTTTTCAACAGCTTCGACCGTCGCTCTCCAAACCAGGCAACTCCTTTCCGTGATCAGACTCCCTCCCGACATGTTCAATAGCCTTCGCCGTCATCAAGCTGACCTTGGAGTTCCATGCTGCATCGAGAGTCGATCGGGCACACAACCGGATCCAGTCCTGGTCGGGGACGCACATCACCTCGGATTGAATAGCCCCCAAATCCTCCGCACACGCAGTACCCGAAGTGAGCGACCGCATAATTCTGTCAAAGTCTCAGGGCGGCGGGCGAGATTCGAACAGCGCCTGGAAATCATATTTCACCTCAACAAAAATACGTCTACGCCCCAAGCCGTCCAGAGAAGCGATCGGTTGCAGTCTACGCCCAGCCCCATGTAAGATCGCTCACTCGGAGACGCGTTGTCGCAGTTGTTGTGGAATCAGAACAAGTCGATCCTCGAGGCGGCGTCGCCTGCCCCGAAGAAGGTCGGGCCCAGCGGCAGGAAGGTGTTCCTCGCGCACCTCAGAGTTTCGGTCATCAATTGTCTCATCGACTTCCAGCCACCCCCTCGTAGTCCCTGCCGCAAGGGCCGATACACTGACCACAATCATCGTCGTCCTCAACTGAGATAGCTTCGCCTTCATACAAACAAATCGCGAGCCCAACCCAATCAATCGTTCAGATCCGCGCCCAATATAGGGATACGTATCCCTGCCGATAAACAATAAAAGCTTGCGCAACCATGCAGTCAGTCTGCACAACAGGCGCCGTTGCTCAGCACGGCCTGCCCGCTGACTCGAGTAGACGGGGAAGTATAACGTGACGACACGAAAGTGGAACGAACCAGAATTGAAACGAACCGCGCCGCATCGACCCTCGAGGTCCATGGACGAGGCGAAAATATGTTTGAAATACCGTCGGGGAAACATTTTGTGATGCGGCATCTCGAGAATCCGAAGGAAATCTCATAGCGACGAGAGTCCGAATTCCGCGGAGATCTCCTCCCCGCGTTATCCACACAAACGCATGGGATTATGCAGTACTGTTAAGTCGGGCCTGTCCCCCTACAGGGAGATTTTCGACGAAACATAAAAAATACTCAAAACAAATAATCAAAAAATCATCCAAAAATAGTCTGGGGACTATTTTTTTGTTTTTTGTTTACCTTTTGGGGCATGTTTGGGGTATGCTTTATTTTTCGTCGAAAATCCCCCTGTAGGGGGACACGCCCGACATAACAGTACTGCACGCTGCACGCACATAGCCCACAGGTTTGGGAGCGGCCGCACCTGCTGAGGTCGTCAGGTCGCCAGCGCACGCGGCGAGAAGCCTGCGGCGGCGGGCGGCGCGGCGACGCCCTCCCTCACGGGGGACGCGAGCCCCGCACGGGGAGAGAGCCGATCGCTGCCCCCGACGAGAGTGCCCCGGCAGTTTTTCAGTAGCCGCGAAAGCGTGCGGTTTGCGCCGCGATGGCCGCTGGAGGAGGAGGAGGAGGAGGAGGAGGAGGAGGAGGAGGAGGAGGAGGAGGAGGAGGAGGAGGAGGAGGAGGAGGAGGAGGAGGAGGAGGAGGAGGAGGGGGGGGGGGGGGATGAGGAGGAGGAGGAGGAGGAGGAGGAGGAGGAGGAGGAGGAGGAGGAGGAGGAGACGAGCGGGGGATTGGGGGGCGGGGCGGGGAAGGGCGGGAAGGGGCGGGGAAGGGGGGGAAGGGGCGGGGCCTCAGGGAGGGGGGCGGGCGCCGGGACGCGCCTGGTGGGGCAGCGGCTGGGCCGCCTGCGGCACGCAGAGCTGCGACGGCAGCTGCTGGACGAAGCCTGCGGGCGAGAGAACCGAGGGACGGAGTCGTCCTGCCATGTGCCGTGCCCCGCCTTCCGCCCTGCGCCACGTGCAGGCTCTCCCGCGTGCAGGCTCTCCGTGCTGAGAGTGGCGTGCAGGCGCTCTGCGTGGCCTCGGCTTCGTGCCCCTTTTTGCTTCGCGCTTGATATTCTGATCCGCGCGTGGCGCTTGCTTCTCTTGCAGCTGCCGACTGTGACAAAGGCTGCCATCGGGCCTCCGTGTTCGTGGGGTCACGAGGCCCTGCGCCGTCCTCCTGGGGGTGCGGACACTGCCGAGCAAGACCCCGAGGCCCTCGATGGCTCTCCTGCTGGCCCGCGCCAGGTGGGGGCAGGAAGCCGAGCTGGCGGGGGGAACAAGAAGGGGACGGCCCAGGGATCGAGCTAAAAACAGTGCTTTTCGTTCTCGTCTTGTTCTCGTTTTCCCTCGCTGTGCCTTCCATCCGCCTTCGCTGCACCACAAGATCAAAACGAAGACGGCCATTCGCATTCGCCAAAACGTCGCTTGGGCCGAGCCCTGGAGCGGCCGAAGGGCGTGAGGGCTCCTGGGGAGGATCGGGTCGGGCGAAAGATGGGGACAGCAAAGGGGGGGGGGAGAATCAGCTCACGTAGCTGATTTTCCCGGCGCCTCCCGGCGCCAGAGGCGGCTACGTTGCAAATTTCGTCCCCCCCCCTTTCCCTGTCCCCCCTTTCGTCCGGCCCGAGAGGAAAGGAGATGGACAGACCCCTCTTTAGTAAAACGTGGTTTAGTGAAAACGACCTCGGGCCCAAACCTGGCGGGCGCAAGCCTGAAGAAGGACGGCCACGGCGCCCTCCCGAGAACCGAAAACGGACAATTCACCAATCGACGTATCCCTGTCGGGGGTTCTGTCCACCCCCGACTTTCCCTGTCCCCCCCTTTCGTCCGGCCCGAGAGGAGAGGAGAGGAGAGGAGAGGAGAGGAGAGGAGAGGAGAGGAGAGGAGAGGAGAGGAGAGGAGAGGAGAGGAGAGGAGAGGGCTCGCCATCGCTCCGACGTCCATTCCCTGTGTTTTTGGTCGGTTTCGTGCGTGGTTTCTTCGCCAGATGGTCAAGGATTCTCCTCGATGGTCCTCGCCGAAGGAAAAATGCACACGTCCGAGCGATGCCAGGAGGGGGGGGGGGGAGCCTGGGCCCCGAGTGTGCTGGGGTTCGGGGGTGGAGGCGGGCAGGCCGGCGAGAGGTCGGTACAGGGCAGCTTTTGATATAGGATTTTCGATACATGGTCAGTACATAACAAATAAGATGTTTTGATATAGGGCAGCTTTTGATATAGGATTTTTGGATGTTTTAACATATAGGATTTTTGATACATGGTCAGCGCATGAACAAACTTATGCCTGAAGTCATCGTTGTTTTTGATACGGAGTTCCTGCATGTTTAATAACTGGTCCGCGCGCGGAGCATGCATAAAAAACGGCACTGTATGGGGTCTCCGAGTGCGGGTGGGCGTCCCAGGTACTGGGGGGGGGGGGGGGGCGCCCGGCGGGCGTGTGTAGTCCGACCATGCCCACACACACACACACCCAAAGGGGGGGAAGGGCGGGGCCCACCTCGGCGCGTCCTCTCTCAGAGGCAGACGTACCACCCTCCCGTCCATACCCCGACGCCCTGAGGAGGAGGTGTGCGGGCTGCTGTGGCAGAGTGCCACAGCCACAGAGCAGGCGGCGTGGGGAGGCGACCGCATAGAAGGTGTAGGGCGCAGCGTGCGTTGCAAGCGGCAGGCGCAGGAGAAAAGGAGGGATGATATGAGCTACGAAGAGTAGGAGGGATAGGAAGACCTTGAAGAACATGAGGACCAGGGAATAGACGACGAGAAAGGAATCGGATCCAGAAATATTGACCACACTCGAACAAATACATACTTCTGATCGACGGGAGCAAAGCGCCGATCCTAGGATGTGGCCAGCGCTGCAGCGCGAAACCTGCTTAACGACCAAGGACGCTTTGATTGGAAAAAACTATCCAAGCTAGTTCGGGGAAATCCTATTCGGGGCATGCGGGGCTAAGTAAAGACAGTATCAGGGCAGAGAGGGGAGCAGTGTTCATATTGAGTGCTTGCAGAGGCGATACAAAGCAGAAACGACAGGAGAAGGGAGGAGTACGAGGAGGGAGAGGAGGAGACTGCTAGGATATGATTCACGACCAGGCGGCACATACCACCGATATGCAGCTGGCGAAATGACAAAAGAATTTCCCCTGGCGGCGCGGGGTGCGCTCTCTGCCGAAGGACACATGGAGTTGCAGCAGGCCATGTAGCCTTACCGTTTCTGGACGGCTCCTCCCACCGAGGAATTATGTCGTCGGCATCTTTCCATACAGGGCTGGGGTGCCCAGTACAAGGGCCAACGATGCCCGCCTTCAGTCTTCCACCAGTGGACGCTGTGGACCCCAAGCACCCGCACATCCAACAGAAAACCTGGCCGTACACAGTTGCTGAAATATATGACACATGGACCTCCTTCGGTGGGGGTGGGGCCCTGGGCATCAGCCTTGGCGAAACCAGCCAAAACCCGAGAACTTACCTGGGCCACACTGGAATTGGCTGCACACCCAGGAGGATCCTAGTCTGGACAGCTGGTGCCCCGAGGATTGCTTAAGCTCCTTCCCCACCGGCCAGGCAATTCACAAGCGGACCTTACGCAGGAAGATTTTGCGCTCGTACTCGGAATCAATAGCCGAAGCACTCACAAAAGCCAGCCTCCTCTGGACTGGCCACGGTTTAAGGTCAAGCATCTAACCTCGGCCTCGATACCCCTGGACACCTGTTAAACTCATACCAGCGCATATTTCTCAGCAAGTCCGTCGTCGCAGAAGGAGGCTGATTGGCGGGGGCCAAAGACAGAAGATCTACGAGCGAATAACATTTGCCGAGCACCACACGTCGCCCCCGATTTTCAGACCAGAACCAGGTCAACCTTCCAGGGCTCCAGAAGTGCCCGAGAATCCCTGCCCGTCATCGTAGGCTATCTGACTGTTCGCGTAGAGCCTGATGGGGCCTTCGGTCAACTTCAGGGCCCACCATACGGTCGACAAATCAGCGCCCGGGGCCGTCGGGGCCCCGTCGATACCCCCACAGGCTCTAGGGGGAGGAACCTCGGGATCGTTCCCCATCCACTCTCCGCGCAGACGGGGCAAAATACACGCCCCTGCCTGCACGCGCAGCGCGCGCGTCGCTGCTCGAGACGGAGCCGACCAGGAAGGGTCGAAGGCGCGGTCGCAGCCCCTCTCGCTGCCATGCGCAGCGTGACTGGCTTTCCCCAGACGGCGCCTGGACCTCCAAGGAGGGCACACTGAGCGGGGCGGCCCTGGATCTGCCGCAGCCCAGGCCTGGCCTGAAAATCCGGGGCACCCGCCGAAATTTCAGCGCGGCAAGCGGCGACGAGGGCGCGACCTAGGCATGGGCCTCTTTTCAATGCGAGAGGACTGCCCCACGCCAGTAGCACCGCCGCCGTCGTCCTCCACGTCCTCGGACGGGTCGCGCTCGCCGCCCGCGCGGGATGGGCCCGCTGGCAGATGCGGCGGCCACGCCAGCGCGCCTGGCCCATTCTGGCCGCCGCTCTCAGCCGGGCCGGCGGCCCGCGGAAGGGGCATCGCCGCGCCGCCCGCGTCCAGCCACTGAGTCCGCGCAGCCATCCTCCAAACAGCGCCGCGCAAGTCGCGCCCACTGATCTGGCTCACTGGGCTGCGACCCCAGTTCCGACATGCGCCGGGCGAGCGCTGCCGTCGGCCCAGCGACTCGCTGCCCAGCTTGATCCATCCAGAGGTCTGTCGCATGAGTCCGACTACTTCGGGGTCCTTCTTCAGGAACCGCCGCAACATGACCGTGGACACACCTCGCCCCTCAACGGAATATCCAGGCACGTCCGCCGCCCCCGCACGCGCACGACACGCTGCAGAGGGAGGCGGGCCAACTGCTGGGACGTCGCGAGTCGATTTGGCGGCCACCCTACGTCTGCGCTCGCCAGATCCCGCGAAAACCACGGCTCGTGAACACGGGCTCGCTCTGCTTTCCGTCGCTGCGCGGTCGCTGCGGCGCGTCGCCCGCGCACCGTCGCCACGCCTACGCCATGGCCCCCGACGCGCGACGCCGCAGACACCGCGGCCCCGACTCCTCGCACCGCCTTCGCCGCTACTTCCACGGCGCAGGGGCGGGGCGCCGCGACTGCAAACTTCGCCTGCATCTCCAGCTCGCTTCCCTGGCGACCCGCTGCCAACTCAACTGATACATGCACAGGGTCTCGCTTGTCTCGGTCGCGCTCTGCATTCGCCTTCGCAGCGAAGCCCTCAACATGTCGTCGCGGGATGGGTCGAGGGACTTCGCCGCGAGCTCGATCCGACACCGCGCACCAGAAGGCCATGGCTCCATTGCTCGCGTTGTCGCAGCCTGGCACAGAACGATTGTTTGGGGCAACGCTGGGGCAGACGCGCCCGCTGCTCGAACTGTTCGAGGCGTCGGGTAGACAACGCAAGCCGCATCAAGTTCCACCCGCGGACACTCCAATGCCATTGCCCTCTCGATGAGGAGGGAACTACTGATGGAGCCGCAGGGACTTCTTGATGTCTACGCAAACGGACCCCAAGGCCTCGGCGCCGTTGCCGGCGGTGTTCTCACCCATGGCCGCGCTGCAAAGCGCAGCCTGCGACGCCGACGACATGGCTGCCGCGGCATCTCAGAAGGCAGCCTTAGCACTGCCCCACCCCGATAAGCCTGGCCGACGCACCCCACACACACACAAACACACACACACACACACACACACACACACACACACACACACACACACTCACGCACTCACACACCGCCCCCACACCAACCACCACCACACCAACCACCCATCCCCACCCACCCACCCACCCACACCCCCACACACGCAGGTGGACGGGTAAGGGGTTCAAGCCAATATGCCTTTCGTCGCCAGCCACCAGGTCGCTGCTTTCCGCAATAGCTCGTACCAGACGCGAAGCCACTGACGAGGCCAAGGGAGGCTCGTCTCACAGGCCGCGAGGACGACAGCCAGATCCTGCTTCGCCTCCATTGCCATAGCTGGGACGTGCTGGACCTTCAACATCTCCGACCCTTGGCCTGACGAGTTCGGGGTAGCACGGAAAGCCCCGCCGAGCTGTTCTCCTGGGATGGGCTGTCGCCCCAGTACTTCATCATGTGCCGACTCGCGACGTCGTCGCAAATGGCGATGCCACTATCCTTGCCCATCGTGCATTGCCCACCGCGGCCGCCACTGCCTCGCCCGAACCTCCACCGCACTCCGCGGGGTGGCGAACACACCGCGCCCAACTCGATCTAGGCAAGGCTCAGGGAGCGCCGGGAACCCCAAGTAGCCGCGCGGACGCTCCACGTTGCCACCCAGCGCCTTCTTGGCCCACTTGACGCGCAACATCCCCGCTTGCCACGCCGCTCCTCTCGCTGGCTGGCCCGGGGAAATGCCTCGCCCCATGCAACGCGACGGGGCCCCGACTCCGCCTTGCGAACGACGCCCAGCGCCCAAGGATCATCGCACATGTCTCGCCGAACTACTCGAGGGCACTCCCGAGCGGCGCGGCAGCGATCCCCATCTGTCCACCTGTCACGCTGCGCTCCTTCAGGATCCAACTGGCGGCGCGCTCGCCGCTGTTCTGCCGGCAGCAGCCACCACCGAACGAGAGGCCATAATACGATTTGAGCGTCGCCATCCTCGTCGCAGGGGATGGCCAACGAGTGCTCAGCCGCGCGCCCACCTCACCCACTGGCACCCGAGCCCCCACGCTGGCTTGCTGCGCGAGCAAGAGGGCTGCACATTAATGCGCGAATGCGTCAGGCCCTGGACGCCCGCACACGTCAGCCTGTCGCCTGATTCGGGGCCACTGCTCGCCCGAGACCGTCGCCCGCAACCAATTCGCGCGGGTCGGGGGGGGGGGTCGTTGATACCCTGGCGTTCTGCGCGCAACGCCAGCTGCTCATCCGCGGCCCCCCCCTCCTCCTCCTTGTCGTTCCGGTCGGCCACGTGCTCCGCGAGCCGCGCGTACTTCTCGCGATCCCTTACGCCTCGAGCCATTCTCCGCGCGCACCGCTCGGCGAAGCACTTCGCGCGGCCCAGCTCGAACAGCGGCCAGGACATCGAGCGTCGCGGAACGCCCCGCGATCTCGACGAGCAGGCCGACGCGGGGGCGCCACGGCACCTCGGCGACGGCTGCCCGAACGACGGCGGGCACAGAGGACAGCAAAGGACGCGCCCTCGCCAACTGAATGCGCAGCTGCGACCCCCGCGGGCGCCATCGCCTGCGCGGCCAACTTATTGGCCCACGAAGACTGCACAAACTCTTCTGGAATGATGTTCCAATCTCCCACGGCTGCCCATGGGGCGCGCATGCCGGCGACGAGTTGGGCCCGCTGCGGGCCCGCCATGCCAGGGTCTCCGCCAAGGTAGACAACGAAGAGCGCGACGCGGACGCCACCCTTCAAGTCCCAGCGCGCTACCGCGATGTCCTTCAGCTCCTTCGCAAAGGCGCTGGCCCCCCTGACTGTTGGCAGACGCACTGGCGTCTGAAGGTAGGAACGCCGTAGCCAACATGCGCCCCCATGGGTTCCATCTGTAGAACGCCCCGCACGCGCAGTGTGCATCCAGGTACGCTGCGAACGCCATTCGCATGACTGGAGCCGCTGGGCATCAACCGACGCCCTCGCCGCTGGGCGGCGGCGCTCAACCAACCCCAGAAGGTCGCACTTCGACTGCACGTTGCGGCGCCTCGCAACGATTCTGTTGAAGTACTTGCCATCGCTGTTCGCACCTTTGGAGTCCTCAGGCGGGTCCTGGAATTCACGCCCTGGGTCCTGGAACTAGACGCGCTTCCGATTGCTGCTGAATCCACTTTGCCGGAGGTTCAGCATCTGCGGTCTTCGCCACAAGCGCCCTTGCACGCTCGCGGATCTGAAGGGTCTGCTCCAAGAACCTGTCGACATACCCTGATTTGTAGGAATCGAACCCGCCCGCTGGGACCTCTTCCTCTTGCGATGGCGGTTCGCTGGCAACTACTCCTCCAGATGAACGAGTGCATCCTTGAACAGGCCCCGCATGAACTCGACGTCGCTTTGACGCCTGGGCTCGGTCAGGAAAGTTTCAAAGATTTCCGCTGCCCCCCTTCTCGCTGCCGAAGCCCCCTTTGGCCGCCTCGAGGGTATGCTGCCCTGCAACTGTGCATCTCGTGCTGACGGGTGCTGCTTCTGCTCCCCTTCGCCCACGAACTCCAGACCTTCTGGCGGCAACTCTGGGGACACATTTTCCGCTGACCTCGAGGCGTTTGTGGTTGTCCAACTGGCGGGATTTTCCCGACACTCAGTTTCCCTGTTGTCGGCCAGCTTCGCGAGGATGTCGCTATGCTCTGCTGCGTTTCGTTGGAGTTGTTCCGGTAGCTTGTCGCCAACTTGGGTGGCCACGCGGAGCTCCTGAACTGCTGCCTCCAATACCTCGAACGGTTTCGGCTCTGGTGCTGGATTGGGTTTTGGCTGACGGAGTGGCGGAAAGGCTTGCACCAACATGTCCAAATGTTCCTTGTCGATGTTGTTTTGGGCGAGCTTGTACAAATCTGCAGGGAGGGCGACCAGAGACTGGGCCTGAGGGTCGGGAGTGCCCTCACTGATCTGGGCTGTGGTCCACAACGTGCCACGTTTGGTCCACTTGCCCTTCTCGGTGATACGACAACAGAATCAAAAAGTGCGACACAAAGGAGTACACACCAGGTGTTGCCTTTTCTGCCCGCCCTGGCTATATTTCTTCGAATTGGAGCTGCACCGCGCCCGGCTGGCTGCGCGGCCTCCTGTACTCCAGGGCGGGAGCTTGCCTCCCATGTCGTAGGCGTCGTCGTGGTCAGCTGCGTCGTCCGCCGCACCGTCAGGTGCGCCCCTCAAGCCGCGGGCGCGCCTCGCAGCCTGCTGGCCTGGGCATGCGCGACCGCGCGGCTCGCGGGCAGCAGTGGACTCGCCAGATATGCACCCTGCAAACTGTTGAGCCCAAATTGCTTGAGAGGAGGGAGAGGAGGAAGCGGGAAAAGAAGGGAGGGAGGACAACGAAGACGACAACGGGGGGCCGTCGACAGCGAAAGGGACGACCGAAGACCGACAGACCATGACGATGAGGACGACGACGAGGACGAAGGCGAGGACGACGACGACCACGACAACGACGACGACGACAATCACAACGACGACGACAACGACGACGACGACGACGACGATGACGACGGACCTCGAAACCCACTCGAAAATGTATCATCCTGGATCGACTGCGGATGGTCCAGGGGCCCCCAAAGGGCCTTCACGTGGCCTTCAGGAACAGAGCAGCAAAAAACGCTAAAAGACCTCCACGGACGGCGACGAGCAACTCCGACGACGACTCCGGACCCGCGGCTGCGGACTTGGAGCCGTGGTGGGCACCGTCGCCGGGCGCTTGGGAGTTCGGCTGCCAGAGCTGCTGAGCCTGGACCATCGGCGGCCAGCCCCAGGCGGTGGCGGCCTGCATTGCCGGGGCCTTCATCGCGGGGGGGGGGGGGGGGCGAGGTTACGGAGAAGGAGGAGCAGCGCAAACCCAAGACCCATCAGAGGAAAGAGACCTCCTCCTCCTCCTCCTCCTCCTCCTCCTCCTCCTCCTCCTCCTCCTGCTCCTCCTCCTCCTCCTCTCCTCCTCCTCCTCCTCCTCCTCCTCCTCCTCCTCCTCCTCCTCCTCCTCCTCCCCCTCCTCCTCCTCCTCCTCCTCCTCCTCCCTCCTCCTCCTCCTCCTTCTCCTCCCCCTCCTCCTCCTCCTCCTCCTCCTCCTCCTCCTCCTCCTCCTCCTCCTCCTCCTCCTCCTCCTCCTCCTCCTCTGATTCTGGCCAGGCCGATCCTGAGCCCAGGGTCGGGTGCATAGGCCTGCGTGGCCTGGCCAAGGAGGAACATGCACCGATCCTGGGCCCAGGGACGGGCCTGGCCAGGATCGGTGCATGTGCACTCGCCATCGCTCGGACGTCCATTCCCTGTGTTTTTGTTCGGTTTCGTGCGTGGTTTTTCGCCAAATGATCAAGGATGCTCCTCGATGGTCCTCGCCGAGGAAAAAACGCACACGTCCGAGCGATGCCAAGTGCACAGGTGTGCTCGCCCGACCCATCAGCGGTGCTGCAGTGAACCCTGCCTCCAAGGTCCCTCTCCGCAGGTCCCTGCCAGGATTTATTCTCGCTGCGGGAAGCGCCCCGTTGGAGGGCAATCGCCTGAAAATCTGGAACCTTGACGAAAACACCATTCCTGGGACTTCAACGCCGCGAATCAACAATACTGTTGCGCCCTGGCGATCCAAAATCGAACGCCGCGAGTCAACGTCACTATTGCGTCCTGGCGATCCTGAATCGTGCCAGAGCACCGTTCCTGGGACTTCAACACCGCGAATCAACGTGACTGTCGCCCTGACAGTCCTACACCGTGCCCAAGCACCATTTCTGGGACGCCAGCCATAAGAGTCCTTGATACTGGTGTCACTTGTAAGACTAACGTGCGCGGCGCTGGGGCGAGAACCACGTTCTGAAAAAAACGCCCTCCATCCGTGAAACTCCTGCGAGCTTGCAAAAACGAATGCGCGGGGCACTAAGGCGAGAGCCACATTTTCAAAACGGCCCGCCGTCGATGTGTAAAACTCTTGCAAACGTTTTAAAACGAGTGTGCGCGGCGCTAACGCGAGATCACATTTTGAAAGCGGCCCGCCCTCCATCCGTGAAGCTCTCGTCAACTTTTGAGGACGACTGCGCGCGGCTTGCAGGCGAAGACCACAGGTTGAAAACGGCCCGCCCTCCATCTGTGAAACGGCTGCAAATCACAAGCTCAACAGTCATGAGTGGCGTGGAGGTCTCAGTCGAGACACCCGGCCCGCCCTACCGACGCGCCAAGGGGTGCGACAGGGAGGCGCTACTTCCGGGGAGGCGTAAGACTCGGGTCCGGGGGAGTCGGGCTGGCCTGGCGAGGCCGTCAAGAACACGACGAGGCCCAATCTGGAATTTGACGCGAACTCCTGCTGCAGACATGCCATGGAAACTGGACCGTCAAAATCCGGGGCGGGCTCGTCGAAACGCGTCGGCAAAATCGAGTTCCGGTAACCTCGAGTCTTCCGTTTCCCCGATACTTGCAAGGGACAGAACGGGTGATGACGAGGCGAAGCGCACCGGGGGCGAATCCGAACAGCAAGCCACGACGGGGCCCGAGGGCGGCAGGGAGGCCCACTGCGAGCGACGCGCACGCAGGGCCGGACAGCTCCCGGCCCCGCCCTGCCCGGGGCGCCCCCCGGGCCGCCCGCTCTCCGCCCGCCCGCCGCCCCCCCGCACCCCCTCCACCACTGGCGCTCTTCCAGGGGCTCCCAACTTCGCGCTCTCGCGCTGCGCGAAGCGCGAGAGCGCGAAGAACTTCGCGCTCTCGCGCCGCCCCCCAGGCAGGGGAGAAGGAGAGGAGGAGCAGGAGCCGGAGCGCGGAGCGCGAAGCGCGGAGAGCGCGAATGACCTCGCGCCCTCGAGGGCGCCCTTGCTCTTCCGCTCCTGCCTCGGCGCTGAGGCGCGGCACCGCTCCATCCGGCGCGGCGAGCGGGCAGGCGCGCAGGGCGGAGGACGCCCGAGCCGCGAGCTCGCCGGCTCGAGTCGGCCGCCGCCCCCGCGCCCCCTCCCCCCCGCCCCGACCGGATCCACGGCCAATCGCTGCCGCATCGAGGAAGCGATCCCCGCCGCCCCGAGGCGGCGCACGGGCGCGCGGCGAGCGAGACGCAGAGGGAACGGAGGGAACGAGCCGAGGGAGCCGACCCAAGCCCGAGCAGGCAGCGGAGGCGCCCGACCTGGGCCGACCAGGGGGGGGAGTAGGGGGCCACATGCGAGCCCTACCCCTGCCCCCCCCCACGATTTCTGAGGGGGAGGGTGGGGTTCGCTTCGCTCGAGAGCTCCCGAACGAAGTGAACCCCACCCCCCTCCCCCTCAGAAATCGTGGGGGGGGGCAGGGGTAGGGTTCGCAAGTGGCCCCCTAGGGAGGGCGCAGCTCAAGGGGCCCAAGGACACACAAATGAATACACACAAATAAAAAGATTCCCCATCTTTTCCCATATTTTCTAAGTCTTTGTCTTCCCGCCCAGTTCCCATTATTTTCCCATATTTTCTGGGGGATCGACGATTCGTTGTGTCTGTGTGTCTTTTCCCCTCCTGGGCAGCGAGGGAGAAAAAGGAAACCGCGGAGAGGCGGCGGCCTCTCGGGACAGGGGAGGAGGGCGGGAGAGCGGCAGGAGGAGGAGGAGGGGGAGGAGGAGGAGGAGGAGGAGGAGGAGGAGGAGGAGGAGGAGGAGGAGGAGGACCCTCGGGATGCGGGGGCGCGCCAAAGACGCGCGGCCCTCGCGGTGTGCTGCCGCGTCTTGGCACAGCTCCAGCGTCTTGACTGCTCGGCGGGTGTCTTGCACGAACGCCTCTCCCAATCCACCTGTAGAGCGAGGAAGAAGCCGACTCCTGTCACATTCACCGGGCAGGGAGAATTCTGCAATCTCCAGACCATGTCCATATTCCGTCAGATATTGCTTCGCTTTGGTAATAATAATAATTATTATTATTAATAATAATAATAATAATAATAATAACAATAATAATACTAGTAATAATAAAGAAAATAATAAGACGAATAATAATAAGACGAATAATAATAATTATAAAAATAAGAATAAGAATAATAATAATAATAACAACAATAATACTAATAATAATAAGAACAACAACAATAATAAATCAACAAACCTAGTGGGCTTCGGAACAAAACCATCATTGTGTTTCGTTGCCTGCGCGACCGGCTGCTTGGTTTTCTCTTCCGAATTGAGAAACGTATTGCCCCTGACGAACGAATGCGCTGTTATGCAGAATGACGCGTGGGCCCCAAGGCCCAAACTCCAAGAGCTCAGGGCCCCCAAACGAACCTACTGCTCAGAAGTTCCGAGGGGTGCACATAACGCCAGAACGTATCGAGCGGCATGTTTGCCGCATCAACTGCATCAGGGGAAGGCTCGTTGTCCAGGCACACTGTAATCCCCGATTCACTGTGTTCGACATCTGCGAGACCCGAAGCCCAGCATCAGGGTGCACAACTGTGCCACACGTTGTGAAAGATGCAGGGAGCGGAATGAACATCGGAAAAATAAGCCTCGAGGAAGGCGCCAGCTCCCTTGTACCTCCTCCAGCTCCTCTTCCTCGTCCTCTTCCTCCTCCTCCTCCTCCT